CGAAGTTGCTCGGGATGGGCAGAAATTACCTGTAGATATGTTCAGTATTGAATTTTTGAATGTGTAATGCTCAAGGAAGGCTGCAATCTGCATGTTCTTTTAATCACCCTTAAAAATGTGAAACCTTTCGGATAGACCAAATGAGAATTAGAGCTGTATTTTATTTCCTTTGAATCCCCACAGCTGGGCACACAGTAGGACCTAATGTCTAAGTGAATGGGTGAATGAGTGAGCAAAGGAAGCTTAGATACTGTATAAAAGACGTTTTTGCGCCTAAAAAACAAACAAATGCCGAAAAATAAATTTCATCCTTACATTGGGAGCACTTAAGATTCATTCGGGGAACAGAGATTAAAAAGTTGGAACAAGGGCTTCCCTGGTGGCTCAGTGGTTGAGAGTCCACCTGCCGATGCAGGGGACACGGGTTCGTGCCCCGGTCCGGGAAGATCCCACATGCCGCGGAGCGGCTGGTCCCGTGAGCCATGGCCGCTGAGCCTGCGCGTCCGGAGCCTGTGCTCCGCAACGGGAGAGGCCACAGCAGTGAGAGGCCCGCATACTGCAGGAAAAAAAATAATAAAAAAAGTTGGAACGAAAAGGATATTCGAGGAGCAATGGAGAGAAACCCCAAAGATCAGTGTCATTGTCCACCCACCAACCCTGTTACTGTGGTTTGGGGTAACCAGTCCTCTTTGTTACTACCTTTTACCCTTCCCTTGAACTTGGGATTACAGAGAGGGAGGCAGAGACCCTGATAATGGTGTCTGTCTTTGTCTTAGTTCAGGCGGTCTTAAAAATGCCACAGATGGGGCAGCCTGAACACAGACATTTACTCCCCACCATCTGGAGGCTGGAAGCCCAAGGTCAAGGTGACGGCAGGTGATTTCATGCTGAGACCTCTTCCTGGTCCTAGGCGGCCACTGTCCTGCTCTGTGCTCACACGACCTCCTCTTGGTGGGGTTACAGGGAGAGCAAGCTCTCTGTGTCCCTTCTTCTGAGGACACAAATCCCATCAGATTAGCGCCCACCCTTATGACCTCCTTTAACCCTAATTGCGTCCTTAGAGTCCCCATGTCCAGATACGGTCCCACTGGGAGTTGGGGGATCAATGTGAATGTGGGGGGAGATGATTTTGTCCACAGCATCATTCATACAGGGGGACCACTGAGACCAGAGGGCGTGCTTGGGGTCCTTAGCGATGATGGTGTAGTCAGTTCCTTTAATCCACCTGAGTCTGTCTCGACACTCTGAGAGTGTCTGATTGCCTAGTGTTCTTCTTTGTAGGAAACTCTGTGGGGCAATCCCCTGAGGGTGCTGCTTTAAAGGAGTATATCTTGCTACCTGCTGAGAGCCGGATGGAGTCCAGCCACATCCCGGCAGAGATGCTCTGCCTGAGCCAGGGAAGACGCCTCATCACACACAGCCGCAAACAGCAAAGACAGGATCCAACTCACTCATTTATTCGGCAAACACTCCTCACTCACCACGTGCCTGGCGCTGTGCTCAGTGACTTAGGGGTGACTTAAGACTCACTGGTGGATGGACAATCCTTTCGCCCTCACCGAGGAGGAAACCGGGGCAGAGAGGCAGGTCTGAGCAGTGGTGAGGGTGGCCCTAGGATGCCTCTGGAGTCCCTTCATTAAACCAGCTTCGGGGGGAAAGATGCCCGACCCCTCATCAAAGGGCCAGCGGATCAGAGGCGGTGCTGGTACTCCTGTGGGCAGGTGGGAGTCACCTGGGGAGTCCGGCTCAGGAGGTAATGAGAGTGTGCAGGGATAACCAGGCAGCCACCTTCAGTCTCCGGAAAGTCCTCTCCTGTGTGGCCCCGGGACCTGCTGAGGCCCTGTGGAGGGCACGCAGGGATGCCTGGCTAGAAGTTCTCATCCTCTGCAGGCTGAGGTCCGGTGAATCCAAACCCCCGGGGGCCAGACAGCAGCTCGGTTCCTCCATGACTGCCATCGGGTGCTGCCACGGTGCTGTGGTTTCCTCTTCCTTCTGGGTGACTTTTTCCAGTAGCATCAAAGACAGAACTGGCTGGCTGTTTTGGAGTTTGGTGACTTAAAATGCCAGCCAATAGCCACTTCCATGGTGCGATGGAAGTGGCAGAGAAGCCGGCCAACTCTCACCCCGTTTTCTGAGGACACCGTCCAGAAACGCTTGTGCTGGAAAGTAGTTCCTCAGATCATGCTTTAAATGGGCCTGGGGAGGCATCACTCGAGTGGGAGGCCCTGCAGGAAACGCGAGATGAGCTCCTGCTTCTGGACCCAGGTCCTCACATTAGGCCTTGTGCTGTGTATCCAGCTTCTTAGATGTGGCCCAGGTCAGTCTGCATTAGGTGTCTGTCACTCTCTGTAGCCACAGAGAGAGGCCTGCAGAACAGACAGCTCTCAAAGCCTGAGTTCTCCTCATCTCCTGAACCTCCTTGCTCTCCTGCAGAAACCCTCTGTCCTGGCTTGGGTTCCAGCCCCGGGAAGAGATGCTGTCCCCTTGGCTGAAGCGGTAATGGCCTCTGTGCCCTTTGAACAATTTAAGCACATACCATGACGGGTATGGTGTTGAGTTTTATTATCATGGTCTTACAGTGGTTTGGTTTTTTTTGTGCTTCCCCCTTCCCGAAATGGTCAATTTGAGCAAATAGGCCTCCAGCATCATAGAATTTTCTGCTTGGGAATTCCTTCCCATCCCTACTCCCACCAAACATTTTGTTGAGAAACGCTTCCACCCTCAAGTGTTGAAAACGTCACTGCAGCTTCATCATTAAAGAGCTTTCGGTGGGCAGAGCCGAGTCCTACGTTAGGGTCACAGAAGAGTGAGGGCAGCAGGGTGGGTGCCGATCGGCCAGTTGTGGAGGAGATCCACTCGATACATAGGGTAGATTCTTAATCCGGACGGGAACCAAGTACAATTCTTTATCCGGACGGGAACCAAGTACTACATCACTCCTCGGCGAGTCCACGCGAGAATAAGTCCCAGCTTCTGTTAATGGCAAGGAGAGTTTATTCTCTGTGATGCAGGAAAACCGCTCCAGCCCGAGCTGGCCTGCTCCCTTGCAGGAGGTCAAATGTGATGTTTCAAACGTTACCAAGGGCTTCCCTGGTGGCGCAGTGGTTGAGAGTCCGCCTGCCGATGCAGGGGACACGGGTTCGTGCCCCGCTCCGGGAAGATCCCACATGCCGCTGAGCGGCTGGTCCCGTGAGCCGTGGCCGCTGAGCCTGCGCGTCCGGAGCCTGTGCTCCGCAACGGGAGAGGCCACAACAGTGAGAGGCCCGCGTACCGCAAAAAAAAAAAAAAAAAACCCAAAAAAACATGTTACCAATTATTGAATTAGAAGAACAGAAGGTTACATCACTAGCTTTGGTGTCCTTTGTGGTTTACATTCTAGGATTAATTCAAATCTTTGTTGGAAAATTTATCCTTTTTGGTTTACTTGGTGGCAGTAGACTGTGGGTGGAGATAAGAGAGGGGAAGTGACAGTCAACATCGTATGGGACCAGGGTCCCAACCCCAGCTCCACTCCCTCATGGGAACTGGGAGATAACGGTCCCCACCCCCCAGGCTTGGTGAGGGTAAGTGGGAACAGTGTGACCTGCACAGAATGGCTCTGGGCCATGGAGGAAACATAGTACGTGGTAACAAGTAACAGGTCATTATTTTAGCATCGTTAGAAGTCTGTTTTCTGTGCTGAGGCTTTTCCATGGAGTTTCGTGTCTTGGAGTCTTTGGTGATGTTGCTTGCCTGTTCTGACGCATTATGCTTGTCGTTGAGAGAAAGATGATTTTTATCCCGGAGCCGAGGGAATCAGAGCTGACAGCGTCATTAGCCTGCACGCCCACCAGCGTGGCCCACGTGAGGGTTAGCGCTGCCCTGTCCCCACCGCGTGTCCTTTCAGAGTCCCCAGGAGCCAGGGGGGTGATGAGCCTCCTAAACGGGGTCCAGGGTCCCCTGGTTAAGACATAGGCTGTTACCTAATTACTTCCTGGATATCGGGTGGGAGGAAGTATTGTCATGGAGATGGCTGGGAAATGTTCTGTATCCACTAGAATATTATTGATATTTTTAACAAGTGAATGGGAAATAGGGTACTTTGCAGCTTTGCTGCAAAGTTTCACAGTTCAGTGTCAGGGCCCCCGCAGCTCACAGCCCTCAAGGTGAGTGATGACCGAATGGTGGGCAGAAGCTGGCACCTGTGCCTTTACAGGTGCACCATGAGTCCCAGGTCTACACACCCCTGAGCGCCAGACACCTGGAAAGCATCACTATGACCTGAAATTATTGCCGTGCCAGTTCCTGATTAAGAAGTAGATCGCAGGAGAGGACCTACGCTTTCGTGAGGTGTTTATGCCGCACTGCTCAGGAAATGTGTAGGAAAAGAGAGGTCAGCTTGAAATATACAAACATTCCACCAGGTGAATATAAATGATGGAAATGAGATTATTTCATTCTTTGGGACAAGCTGAGTTGTTATTTGGCTCCCTTAGTAAATAATGATCTGTGATGGGAGACATTATAAAAATTATTAAAAATTTTAAAATTTAGAAATTATAAAAATTCAAATAAGGTAATTTTCTTCATTTTTGGTCTTTAAAAAGCATACTTTTTAGCTAAAAAGAAAGCTGTTGTCTTCAACTTAAAATTTCAGTGTTTAAGATACACTATATTTGTGAATAACTGAAAATTTAATGCCTTATGCCCATACGTTAATATCATTTGTGCTGACCTTATAGGATTCAGGTCAACATATCCATGGGTTTAACTAGAAATGTAACTATTTTCCCAGCTATTCTGATTCTGATGGTGCTTTCAGTAGTGTTGTTTATTAGTATTGAAAGTGTTAAGATATCACTGTGCAGTCATGCTTGAGAAATTAACGAGAAGCTGTTTTCTTTCTTCCTACTGACGGCCAATTTGCTTATTCACCCACTGGTTCATTTGTCTTAACCCACTCAGCTAGCAGAAGGGAGAATGCAAACATTCCCCATGACCGTGATTTGTTTCTCTTTCAGCCACGCGATGATGGACCTACTGGTTGAACTTTGCCTTCAGAACCACCTGAACCCGTCCAACCATGCCTTGGAGATCCGGTCTTCAGAAACTCAACAGCCTTTGAATTTTAAGCCAAATACTTTGGTTGGGACCCTGAATGCGCATACCGTATTTCTGAAAGAAAAAGTTCCTGAAGCGAAGGTTAAGGCTGGCCCCGCTAAGGTGCCTGAGGTCAGTAGCGCGAGGGACCCTTTGTCATATAAGGCCATATGCAGTTCCCTGTGACCCAGGGTGCTGGAGCTGCTGAGGAGAGGCCGGCGGAGCCCCTGCTGTATAAGTAACGCACGCTGTGGTTGAGGTTTCCACTTGGTGGTGGGCTAAGTTAGACCCTAAACTGAGTTTACTCTAGGAGACCGAACACGCATTGAATAATGTTTGTTGTGTAGCATTTCTCCTTTCCGTGCCAGAGAAGAGGAGCCAGTCTAGAGCAGAACTATCCACCAGAACTTTCCGCAAAGATGGAAATGGTCTATAATTCTGCCCTCGGCAAGGTGACAGCCACTGATGACATGTAGCTGCTGAGCATGCGAAATGCAGCTAGTGTGATCGAAAAACAACTTTTCATTTCTTAATTTTCATTGAAATAACCACAGGTAGCCAATGTCTACCCTCTTGGCCTAGTCCTAAAGGTTCTAGCTGAGTTCTGGAGGCCTTCCTGTCCACGGCAGAGGTTGGAATATGTAGACGATGTAAACAGCTTCCTAGAGAGAGGAAACAGAAAGGGGTTCCCTTTTGAAATACTAATGTCAGAAATACTCATTGCAATTTGGATAATATTTTATGCATAGATTCCAGACTTTTGAGTATTGATTAAGGGTAACTCCAGCTGCTTATTGTAATTTTTTTTTTTTTGCGGTACACAGGCCTCTCACTGTTGTGGCCTCTCCCGTTGCGGAGCACAGGCTCCAGACGCGCAGGCTCAGCGGCCATGGCTCACGGGCCTAGCCGCTCTGCGGCATGTGGGATCTTCCCGGAGCGGGGCACGAACCCGTGTCCCCTGCATCGGCAGGTGGACTCTCAACCCCTGCGCCACCAGGGAAGCCCTATTGTACTTTTTAATAAGGCTTTGCTGTGGATCTTTCCTCTCCAGTTGAAAGCAATGCTATTTCATTCTTTTAGATTATTGTAATACCTACTAAATTTCCCTATTTTTTTTTTTTTTTTTCCCGTTGCGGAGCACCGGCTCCGGACGCGCAGGCCCAGCGGCCATGGCTTACGGGCCCAGCCGCTCCGCGGCATGTGGGATCCTCCCGGACTGGGGCACGAACCCGCGTCCCCTGCATCGGCAGGCAGACTCCCAACCACTGCGCCACCAGGGAAGCCCTAAATTTCCCTATTTTTAAACATGGTAATTTGGCCAACAGGTCATGTCCTCTAGGTTTGGTTGGTTAATAACTTTTAATTGGTGGTATCTATACTTTGAGTTTTCCCTAATTCTTCAATTAAAATCACTGTTTAAGGAAATAAACCCTTTTTATATCTATATTCTGTGGCTTTTCTTGCCGTCTTGAACCCCAGCTGCAAATCCCAGGGGCAGGTGAGCCCAAGTGTATATATGACTCCAGTTTAAGAAGCATGGAAAAGATCCATGATTCCATTTTTCCTCCTAAAATTCATCAAACCCTGGCACTCAGACTGGAAAGGAGTGAGATGAATCTCAGTCCGTTTTTTTTTATTCAATACACATTTACTGTGTCCACTCCCCAGGATCTTAGAACAATGTGGGTGATCAGTAAAGACCAAACAGAAGTTGACTGCATGAAACTTCAGCCTGTTACATTTTTGACGGGTCACTTTATCTGTAGACATGTATAATCAGCTTTAGTCAAATTGATTTTTTTTCTGATTATGATGTCTATTATTATATGCCTATTATATTTGTATGTCTAGTGTATGTTATATTTTTCTAGCTTAAAATACATATGTGTGTAGTGTATATGTGTCAATATTCATATAAATATATGATACTAGATATTAATCTATTTATGTGGGTATTTTGTCTTCTTAAACAAAAATGTGATGTCTTGTTTTCTGAGGGTTTTTTTTTTTTCTTCCTTTAAATTGGATTGTTCACAAGAATTCCAAACCACTTCCCTTTAAGAAACGTATTAGTGCCTTGCATTCAGGTCTGTTTAGAATCCTTGAAAGACAGTGTGTATATTAGATTCCAAATTGAGACCCTCACTGCTGTCCATTTCCCCATGTTGGTAGCAGTTTGTTCATTAGCAAAAGAGATTGGAAGGTAAATTCATTTTTCCAGGCATTTGCTATTCCTATTCAGTGTGCCCTTTCCCCCATGACCCACTGAATTTTGGAAGAAAGACCCGGTCCACACAAAATCATGCCCTGCTCCATTCTAGTATAAACACAGCTGTGCAAAGATGCGCTCACGGAATTCTGCCTGCCGTGTTTTCCAGAAGACAGTGCGCCTGGTGGTGAACTACCTGCGCACACAGAAGGCGGTGGTGCGCGTGAGCCCCGAGGTTCCCCTGCAGAGCATCCTCCCAGTCATCTGCGCCAAGTGCGACGTCAGCCCGGAGCACGTGGTGCTCCTCAGGGACAATGTGGCCGGTGAGGAGCTGGAGCTCTCCAAGTCCCTGAACGAGCTGGGCATAAAGGAGCTCTACGCCTGGGACAACAAGAGAGGTGAGGCCACCCAGCGTCTCAGACGCGGCGCCGCTGGCCCTCCGCGCATGCGTCGTAGCACAGAGCGATGGGGATGGGCGTTTGCAGGCCTCTCCAATTTTGTCCAAACCAGAACGGGAGTGGGCGGGAAATACAATACATGGATTGTAGTTATACCTCTTTCCCCCAGTCGTGAGCATGCTCGTTACCCCTTGTCTCCCGTGAGCTTCCATGAGATACGTAAAAAGGGGAAAGGTGAGAATACTGGAGCTTCTGCCCTAAAAGAACTTCTCAGAAGCCACGTGTGAACCGTATTCTCCTGGATTTCCTTTTCAGTTGCCATTATACTCCCAGGTCTCAAACGTTGCTCCTAATCGAAACCAGTGGCAGAATGCAGTGAGCTGTTCCCTAAGCCTGCCCAAATGCAGTTCAGTCCCTGGAGACAACACGTGCTGCTTCCCCTCTATCCTTCTCCTCCCGTGAAGGTGGTACCAGCCTGAGATCACAGTTAGTAAGAGGCTCTGGCTTGAGTGACACCTCGAGGCCAGTGTTGGTACAAAGACTGTTGTGTAAGCAGATTTCCCTGATTGACACAGGGGCTGACTGTATTTGAACAACCGTGAGACCAAAAAAAAAAGAAAAAAAAAAAAAATATATATATATATATA